AATAAAAACATTAAAAAAAAAAAAAAAGGTAGCTGAGGAAAGCAGGACAACTCCAAAGCCTCAGTTTGTCTATAAAATGTGGATAATACTATCTTGCAAATTTAGTGTGGAAATGGTACATGTATAAAGTGCATGGCATCCAGTAGGTGCATAGGTAGCTCTTATCCTGGGTAATGGGAAGGTCATTTCCTCGCACCTTAGTAGGCACTCCGGATGTATGAGTTCTCACTTTATCTCTTCCTTTAGCCCTTTAGAGTTTGAAACTCAGGCCCTGGCAAAGGAGACTTGCATACTCCACCTCTTTTGTTAATTGCCACTTGGCCTTCTGCTGGCTTGAGGGCTCCCTTAATAAAGTTAAACCCAGACCTACATAGGCAACCTTGAAGAATCTGGCCTTTTATTATGGAGGAAAGTGTTTCCTTCTGTAGTGGCAGCTGTAACTGATGAGCAGTGCCCAAGGGCAAAGTGAATCTTAGGCTGAGTGGGGATGCACTTGGTCCAGACAACTGTCTTCCCAGGTCCCTCCATTTCCTTTTTGGAGTGCTCTGGGGGTTATTCTGCTGCAAGAGTTGGTGGTGTCCAGTAGAGACAAATGATAAGGATGGGGCAAGTGCTCAGGGTTGCACATGCAAAAAATTCAGTCACCTAGGGTGACTCACAAATTTGTCTTCTGTGACCTTATGAGAATTAGGGAATCAGAGCACATCTCCTATGAGGGATCATCTAGAATATCAGGGGCCTTGGAGGTTATCAAGTCCAACTCCTTGTTTTAAAAATGATAAAATTAAGGCCCAGAGAGGAGGGGAGTTGCTGAGGTCACATAAACCTCAGCAAAATAATTGCCTTGGCTGGTCAGTAGGAGTTTCCTTGGGAAACCATATTAAGATAACATTGCTTGGTAAAGTCAAGTCATATTCAGGGCAAATCATAATAATCTCCTCTGTGAGTTTTACAGCAGTTCCAGTGTTTTCAAAATGCATTCACATTCATTGCTATTTTGAGGCAGATACTGTCCCCCTTTCATAGATGAGGAAACCAAGGCTCAGCAAGGCTGAGTGTCAGGTGTCACACAGTCAAGGCTGAGCTGGTACTAGAATACAAGAAAACTGGTTGATTTAAAGACAGTTCTGAGGCACCTGTGCAGCCCCCAGGCCCCTCCAGGCCCTGCTGTTTTCTCAATACTGTTTTCCAGTCTCTGGAAACTTGTCATTGCACCTTATACCATGATGAATATGTAATCCATCTGATCTCAGCTATCTTCCTGAGGTCTGAAGTAGGCTTTTTTTTTCACCTAGTCATCCATCAGCTGTCAGTTTCAAGGCCTCTTTGGGGTGGGCTCCTTCCAGAAAGATTTCCCATGACAGTTGAGCCCATGTTTCTAGTTGTGGCTTCAGAGTATGTTAGTGTGGACCCAGATCTGGGTCCTGGGTGCTGGTTATGGTATGCAGTGTGTTAGGCACTCACCAAACCCTTCAGCCTGCAACAGGGGTAATCCAGGCCAGTGGGAAGGACCCTACATGTGCAGCCAGAAGACTGGGTTTGAGTTCCTGTGCCACTATTTCTTTGGGGTGACTCTGATCGGTTCAGAACTTCTCTGAATATTAGTTGGAGTCCAGCAGACTTGGGTTTGAGCCCATTATGTTATTGGAGAATTCTTTCACTTCTCTGAGCTATTTCCTCATCTGTAAAATGAATGGTAAGACCTAATTCTTAGGGTTTAGCCAAGGATGAAGTGTGATAAGGTACACATCATCCTTAGCATGGAGTAAGCACTCCATTTGAGTAAAATGGGGCAACACCATGGCCTGAGTCATTAAGCACCATGAAAATTCAAAGATGTGTGAACCTAAAGGTGTCTGATGGTCAGTCTCATTGTTTCCCACTGACCTGATAGCCCTCAGTCCCTTTTGCCCACTGTGTGGGCTAGGGACAGTCCTTATTTCCAGCCAGGGCTCACACCTTCCAGCACTTTAGGACAAGACAGCTGTCTCAGAACAGGTCAGTTTTCTGCACAACTTTATGGGTTAGGACTGAGATGGTTCTCTGGGTCTCTTGGAGCCCTGGGCTTAAAGAACAAAATCGTTATCTTAAGTCTCTCTTCTATACACTATCTTCATTGAGCCTGTCTGCAGCTGTGTGAGATTCAGGCTGCTACACACCCATTTTACAGATGAGGAAGCAGAGACCAGAGGTGTAAGAACTTCGTGTCAGGGCAAAATGGAAATCTTATACCTCAGCTACTGAATTGCTGACCATGGTTAGCCTCAGCCCCTGCCTGAGCGCAGCATTGCTATTTAATGAGCAAAGCCATTCAGGAGGCACAGCCTCAATGCTTACCTCTTTTCCTGCCAGGGGGAAGGACCTGAAAGAGCAGCATGACCAGCGTGTGTGTGAGAGGGAGATGCAGCGAATCACCCTGCCCTTGTCTGCCTTCACCAATCCGACCTGTGAGATCGTGGATGAGAAGACTATTGTAGTCCACACCAACCAGACTCCAGTGGACCTTCAGGAGGGCAGTGCCCCTCTCATGGGCCAGGCAGGCACTCCTGGGGCCTGAGCTGCCAACAATGGGCAAGAGCCCATGCAGACACTGGTGCAGGACATCCTACTCTCCTTCAGCTGGGAGGATCTACACTTTTTGTTGTGGTTAAAATCCTCCCTCGACTTTTTGTTTTCTTAATTCTAAAACAGAAGCAGGTGGTGTGCTGAGGGCAAGTCTGGGTAGGGTCCTACCAATGCTCCTCCTCCATCCCTTGGAGCAGGGTTTTGCCTGTGGATGGAGACAGTGGCAGCCCCCACAGCAATGCTGCTGACAAGGGCTTCCAAACATTGCTTGTGCCCTGGATCTGAACCAGGGACAGGCAAGGAGCTCCCCCAGGTTCCTCTGTGCTTTATTATCTAAGATGGCCTCAGTCTCCGCCTTTCTGTTTGTTCTCCGTGTGCTTGAGTGGCGCATACTGTTATCCATAGTTCGGGACAGACAGGTCAGGAGGCAGTATTTCAAAAATACAGTTTTTAAAATATTTGGGATGGAACTCCCTACTGACTTTGAGAACCAGAAATGAATTTGTACAAAAGTCAAAACTATGGGTTGAGAATGGGATCTAGGTTGGAGGCTCCTGGGGGGTGCTCCAGCTTGCTAGCAGTGATGTGCCTTGATAACTGTGGGCTGGCCCTGGGCCCAGGGACTCTTCCTGTTTTGAAAGGAAAGGAAGGGAAGAATCGCACTGAACATTCCACTTGGGAAGAAGGCAGAGAAGGATCTATGGCTGCCTTAGGCCACAGGACTCAAGGGGGACCTGGGGAACCCTAGACAGTTTGTTCAGGGTGGACATTGGCCTCTTTTCATTTTGCAGGGGTAAGACATCAGCCAACTAACCTATGGGAATTACACTGTGGGGCCTTGTGAGCTGCTTCTGAGAGGTTAACTCAGAAACTAAGCTCAGAGGCAAGGTAATAAAGTGCTTCAGGGCTTGCCCCTGCAGTGGCTTGAGTTTGCAGGTGGCTCTGTGGCCTCCAGGCTAATGCATTCCCGTGAGGGTAGTACGGCTAGGCTCACAACCCCTAACTTGTAAAACAATCAGAACCATTGGAAGGGACCTTAGGGTTCCTCAAGCCTTTTAGACACAGGGACCCAGAGGGGGAAAGTGATGCCCAAGGTCATAGAGCATAGGCATGGCTGAGAGGAAAGTAACATTTCTCCACAGCACTGTGCTTCACTGAGCCAATGGCTCAGCAGGGCCTCCAAGTCCTGATGTCACACTTGGAGGCCTTAGCAGTGCTCCCTGCCCAGAGCTTCCTTCCACTGCCCCATGTGGAAAGGGGGCTTAGAGGGGCCCATTCTCTTCAGCAGACTATTCCTGGGAGTGGTTTGCTGAGGGGCCTAGGCCTCATGGGTCCCTTGGTGTTAGTGATGCTGAAGAAAAGAACAGTATATTACTGGTTTCTACTTTTCTATAAAAGCATTTCTCTGTGTACATGTTTTATATACCTCATTCTGATACCTGCATATAAAGTGCAGTAAATTGCTCTGCATTTGACTTGTATAAATTAAAAAAACAAAAAGCTGTGTATCACCAAGTTTTTATGGGGTACAAGGACATTCCTCCGCTAAGCTGGAAGTTTTTAGTTACCTTGTCCATACCTGTGTGGCAAGCTCTGGCTTTCCCTCATTAACTCTGGCCCTGTGTCTGGGAGATGGCAAGTGAGTGGTGTGTTAACTGTTGCCTCTGTTCTGTCATCACCAGGAATCATTCAGGTTGAAGCTGCAGGAAAGATGGGTATGCTGGTTTGGTCACTGCAAATCCTCTCCCCTTCACCATTTTTCCCAAGGTGGAGGTAGTTAAAATGAACATCCAGGCAGCCGTTGGCAGGGGCTGGAGACAGGTGTGATTGGTGGTGCTGCAGCAGCAAAAGGGAAGGATGGATGTGCAGAGGAGGCTGGGTCCTTGGGATGCAGGAAGCAGCTCTGAGCAGAGAAAGGCCCCTGGGGATGGTGAGGGAGGAGGGTGGGGTGGGGTGAGGGGAGTGGAGGGGAACTCCTAGAGCTCTAGAAGAAGTTACCAACAGGACTTTCAGCACAAGATTTCAACAACATGTTCTCTGCCTCTAGGAATACCCAGGGTGATCTCTGTCCATGCCTAGACATTGCTCTGTAGTTCTACAAATAAGGGGCACCCTAGAATATCAGTTTTGCCAGGAATTGGAGTCTGTCCTTAAGTTGAACTTAAGGGTATATGGATTTATACTGTGTCCAGGATCCCACTAGGCAGATAATATCCTGCCCAATGCTTCACATCTCCCATGTGTAGAAGTAAGAATAGGTCTTCTCTCAAGCATTTATAGGAAAACACAAGGTGTGGAGGTGACTTGCATTCATTTCTTCCCTTTATGAAGGTGGCACCCAACCCTGCAGGGAGGATATCCAGGCTTATAGGAGTGTACATGCATCAGAGAGTGGAAGTATATGGCCCCAAGGGAAGCACTTGGCTGGGAGGTCAGAGTCAGACCTGCTTGAAGGACTGGGTTGCCTCAGGTGGCATGTGCATGTTCTCTGGAGCAGGTTAGTATCTATATAAGAGGGGATTAGAGTTGGGGTGTGTGTGAGAACTCCTGCTATGGGGAGTCACAGGGCGGGGCCTGAAAGTGGCCAGCAGACCCTCCACATGTACCCTCCTCCTGCTGAGCCAAGCCCCAAGTCACTTTCTCACTCTCCGTATCATCAGTTATGTTAACTGCTCAATTTATTTGGTCTGTTCAACGGCCCACCGTGGGCCCACCACTCCCATGCTTGCTGGGGACAACTGAGGCACAACCAGCCACAAAATGCTGACTTAGGGCTGCTGGGAGCCAGGGCTCAATCCTACAGCAAGCTTGCACACTCCACACATTACGTATGGTCTATATAGCAGGTAAACTCTGTCCAGAGATGACATCTAATCCCACAATTTATCAGGTCTATGTACAGTATTTCACATATCACCCAACAGATACAGCAACAAAATAGTTTTAAAATCAACCACTCTCCTGGATCACTCCCCACCACCACCTCCCCCATCCCCCAAACAACCACCACACATTGCAGTAACGTCCCAAACCCATTTCCAATTTGTTAAATATGGTGCAAGCTCACAGGAGGAAAATCTATTTGTGTTGAAGAGTCCCTGGAGCTCTGGAAGCCAAGGTGGAGGGTGCCTCTGGGGCTTTTCAGCACCCATGAGCTGTGTCAGGAAGATACAGCCAGGAGCTAGTGAGCTGGGCCAACCAACAAGGGAGGTAGAAGCCAGAAAGGCCAGCTCAGGGAGTGGTCTCCTCCAGCACCCCAGCTCTGGAGCTCTGCCACCACCACCTCCTGCCTAGGTTGCTGCCTGGACCAGGCATAGTGAAGAGTGAGCAGTGGTTGCCACAAGGACAAGACCAAGAGACTGCTGAGATTCCCACTCCCTTGGCTCATACACTGAGCCTGTGGCAAGCCACACAATCCTCCAGAACCCATCTAACACTAAGCTAAATGTCCTGGGCTTCTGACTGAGGTGCCCACCAGGCTATGAATGACAGCAGCCAGGATATGGGCTTTCTAGAAGACAGGGCCCCTTTCTAGCCCCTAGCCTCTTCCTGCACTTGTGGGTGAGTGCTTGTTGTAGGCAGAAAAGCCCAGGAGCTCTCAGCAAGAGCGGTAGTTTGTGAACATGAGGCGGAAGCTCCCCCTCACACTGATGTGGCCCCTAGGCCTGGGAGATGAGTAGAAACTAGCCCTTCCCTGACTCCTGGCCAGTTCCACCACAAACTAAGGAACTCTTCAAGACCTACTCCCTCAACCCTTGCCCCACAGGGGGGCGGGGCATGGGGTGGAAGGCGGGTAGCACCACTGTCATTTCACATCCTTGGATAGCCACCTGGCCACCAGTCTCTCTCTCATCCACACTCCCCCTTAAAGTCCTCCTGTATCCAGTGCGACCAGAGACTTCAGAGCCCACAGGCAGGTTCACCCTGGAATCCTGCCCAGCAGGTCTAGGTCACACTAATTATTGTAAGCAACAGCCTCCCAGAATCACACTGCCAGGGAGCTCCCGAGTGGTCATCAGTAACAGATTCCCCCAGCCCATGGGCCAGGCTTTTCTTTTTCTTTTCTTTTTTTTTTTTTTTTTTTTTTTTTTTTTTTTTTCTTTCTTCACAGCTTTCAGGTGAGTGTTGGATTTACAGACAGTAACCAGAACCCCAAACCTGTGATGTGTTTCCTGGTGCTGCACCCGCTGGCCTCCTGGGGAGGTAGTAGGGATGGCTTGTTCTGCTTCTGAATAAGCCGCCAATCCACAGGAAGCCCGGACGGCCCTGCCCACAGCAGAGATGGGGTGCAGAGGGGGCAACGGTGGCTGCAGAACGCCCCCCTGCAGGGGGCTGGGCCAAGGCTAGGGAGGTGAGTCCCGGGTCAGGCCATACTGCATGCTCACAGTGTGGTCCAGCTCTTCCAGCTCTGCAGGCAGTGGGATGCCCAGCTCCCCCAGATAGAGGGAGAGAGCCTCAAAGGAGTCCTCCAGTTTTGAGAATGCCGGTCTAGAAAGAAAAGGGGCGAGTTGGAGGCAGGTGAGACACGGACAGGGCCACGGGGTGGTGTGAAAGGCACCCAGGCCTGCATCTCAACCACTTCCTAGTTGTGTGACCTTGGGAAAGCCCCTTAACCTGTGCCTCTGCAGGAAATGGGGATATAATGTTACTGCTAGTGTGTAGGGTTGTTGTGAAGATGGGAGATAATACTGTGATAAGGCTGGACTTGCTCAAAGGGGTAGCTTAAAAAAAGAAAGTCCAGGAGAAAAAAAGCTCCTCTCATGTCTTGGAGAAAATGCAATAATTTTAAGTGCCTTTTTAAAGATTCTTTCCAGTCCTTATACTGTCTTCACATCAATAGATCTGCTCAGGAAAGGACATTTCACAGACTCACCAGCTCTTCCCAAAGGGAAAACAAACACTGGGTTTCCAGTACTGTGGAAACAGTTTAGCTGCCCTGGAACCCTAAGACAGCTCAGGCTTACTCCACCTCCTCCATGTTTTTGTTTAACCGTCTTATCACCTTCTCAGCGGGGCCCACTCACCCTCACCACCGTATTTAAAATTACAACTTACAGGTGCCTGGGTGGCTCAGTCAGTTAAGCATCTGACTTCGACTCAGGTCATGATCTCGCAGTTTGTGGTTCAAGCCTCCCATCGGGCTCTCTGCTGTCAGCTCGGAGCCTGGAGCTTGCTTTGGATTCTGTCTTCCTGCTCTCTCTGCCCCTACCCCACTCACGTCTGTCTCTCTCTCAAAAATAAACATTAAAAAATTTTTTAGGGGTGCCTGGGTGGCTCAGTCGGTTAAGTGTCTGACTTCGGCTCAGGCCAATGATCTTGTGGTTTGAGCCCCACGTTGGGCTGTGTGCCTCTCTGCCCCTCCCATGCTCATGCTCTGTCTCTCTCTCGATAATAGATAAACGTTAAAAAAAAAATTTTTTTTTAATTACAACTTCTACCCTACACATCCTCTTTCCTCAGCTCTGCTCTTTTCCCCATACTATTTGTCACTTTCTTTTGTTCAGTGAAGTTTATTCTATCTATTGTTTATCATCTCTTCTTATTAGAATGTGAGTTCTAGGAGAGCAGGCACCTTTGCTTTGTTCACTCCAGTGTTCAGGACAGTGTCTAACACATGGTAGGCACTCAGTCAATATTTTTTGAGTGACTTAAACACAGACATTTAGAATGACTAGGAAAGGATATTAGCAAACAAATACTGTGTAGCTTTACATTTTCTCCTCATGGTCTTACTCTGATGTTAGTGAAGGACTGCAGTCCTTTGGCCCATGAAGGAACAAAATGTAAAGCCTCCCACCAGCAAATCCCAACTCTAAACTTGACCTTGGAAACCATTTTATTTTTTATTAAAAACAATTTTTTTAATGTATTTATTTTTGAGAAAGAGATAACACGAGAAGGGGAGGAGCAGAGAGAGAGGGAGACACAGAATCTGAAGCAGGCTCCAGGCTCCTAGCTGTCAGCACAGAGCCCGATTGTGGGGCTTGAACTCATAAACTGTGAGATCATGACCTGAGCTTGAAGTCAGACACTTACCCAGGTGCCACCTGGAAATCATTTTAAAATAAAGGTTATGTGCCAACTGGTTATCTTGAGGGGATGGAGCAGGAGAGTGAGGAGTGCTGGGGAGCACATTGGTTAGTAGATAATAGAAAATGTATACTTCCTGTGCTATATATTTTAGTAATACTTGAATTTGTTTTGTTTTTTTTTTTTTTAAAGAAACAGGATTTTTGAGAGCAGGAAAAAGTACAGATTCTAGTTTTCTAATGTACAAACTTGAAAACAACCAGGGTAATAATGAAAACTATAACCTGAGATAAATAAAGGTCATTTAAAAAATATTTCTTTAAAGGAAAAAATTAGTTAAAATGAATAAAGATGCTCACTATAGTAATACCTATTGTAAGGAGAAACTGGAAAAACCTGAATATCTATATTACGTATATTATATGTTCAGACTATATCTTAAGTGAATTTCACATAGTCAACAAAAATGATAAATGGGAAGACTGGGTAGTATACTTTTTGCAGGGCAAAATATAAAACTTCTCTTTATTTGAGGGGTGGCTCAGTCAGTTAAACATCCGACTTCAGCTTAGATCATGATCTCCCGATTCATGAGTTTGGTCCCTACCTCAGGCTCCTTCCTGGCAGTGTGGAGCCTGCTTAGGACTCTCTCTCTCTGCCCCTCCCCCATTCACCCTTTCTCTTGCTTTCAAAATAAATACATAAACTTAAAAAAATTTTTTTTCTTTATCTGAGATTATAGCTATATGAAAAAAAATGTATGTGTTTGGAACAGATTCTGTTGGAATGGCACAGGTTTGTGTGAATTTTCTTCTGTTAAAATTTCTTTTCATGGCTGTGTCTTTGTTATATCCAGGTCACTCATGACAATGCCTTTGTCCCCCCTACCACCTCACCTGGCACATCAGAGTTGTTAGGGTGGCTTCAGTGGTTGGTATCCTTGAGCTCAAGGCTTTTGCCACCCTTGTGCCTGGGAAGGGCTTGGGGATGGCTGAAGGCTGGGGCAAGCATCCGGGCTTATGTGAGCTGGGGAGAAGGGGTAGGATACCAACCTGCTCTCGGGCTCCAGTTTGCAGCAGATGGCGGCCAGGGGGAAGAAGGCTGGGGGGCAGTCTGTGGGGACAAACTTCTCCCAGAAAAGCTTCACGTTGAGACCAAAGTCCAGTGTTCGGGGCAGGCAATCAGGATCTGCATACACCTGCCCGATGATCTGCAGGTGAGAAGATGGCTGGTCAGGAATGGGCTGTGGTGTGTGCGGCCATAGGGCAGGGGAGAGGGATACTGGTGTATGGACAAGAAGGATGGGCAGAAGAGGGAGGTAAAAAACCAAGGTTAGAAAGCTATCCTCCATGCCCAAATTTTGCTAGTCCAGACTTGTCTCTCAGCTGAGAGTCTGGTTACTGAGGAGGGTTTAGAAAAGACTTCTCTGCAGCAAAAGCACAATGTTCCAAATCTGGAGGAGGAGCTTCTATACATCCCACCCTGCCCTGCTGTGTGCCCTTGTGTCTATGTCCCCTGCCAGAGTTCAGGCTCTGTGAAGTGAGGTTCTGGGTCTGATGCATGTCTGAAACTTCTTGGCACCAGCCTCGTGCTTTGCACACAGTATATGCTCAATTGATCTCTATTAAAGAAAATGATTTTAAAAAACCCTCCTTCCATTATTCCAACTGTTCTTGTCTCTCCTCTACCACTCACCATTTTGTAGGAATTACAGAAGGCTCTGAACATATGTGTTTGATTGAGTGCTTTCAGACAGACTGAGCTAAGCTCCTAAGGGGAGGAATCTTTCCAAGACTCAGCCTATACACCTCACAGTGCTTAGAACTGTGCTAGACAGGCTAGCACTTCTTGTGATGGCTACTTCCACTTGTGGGGCTGAGGGCAACAGCACTATCAGGGCCTGGGGAATGGGGATCAGAGTCAAAGGTTACATTGGCCCAACAGCTAAATGGGACAACCATAAGGACAGCCTCATGCCTTTCCTAGTGGAGTTCCGAGTCTCACCTGCCCCTTACCGGCTATGTGACTAAGAGGAAGCTGCTGCCCCTTTCTGAGCCTCAGTTTCCTCACCTGAAAAAACCCTGCCCAGTCCTTCTCATGGGACTGATGAGACTCAAATGTGTCAACAGATGTGTGATAACTGCACAACCCTACATTCATGTTGACTTTATTGTGAGCTACTCATCGTTAGGAGAAGCAGTCCCAGTTCTGAGGCAGGGCAGAGCCATTAGGCCTTCTACCTCAGGCCTGGCCTCTGTGCAGGCCGGAGCTCACCTCGCAGAGAACGATCCCAAAAGAGAAGACATCCACCGTCTCATCGTAGCTCTTTCCTTGGAGAACACAGGAGAGCAGGCTGTTAGGTTTGGTCTCTTATCTGCTCTGCACTGAGTCTGGGGCCAAGCCAGGCCACAGCCAAGAACCAGGGCTAGAAGAGGCTCCATGGGGATGCCTTGAAGGCTTCCCAGGAGAGGTACCATCTGAACATCTTTCCTCAGCCCTGGGTGGGCTGCCTCAGAGAGATCTTATAAAACACACTATCCAAAATGAAACTACATTGGACATTGAAAGAGAAATGGATCAGGGTTCATCTGGACTCTGTCATTAGCTAGCTGTATGTTCCTGGGCAAACCGCTGAACTTCTCTGGGCCACAAGACTCCAAAAAGTGTTGGGGTGCCTGGGTGATTCAGTCAGTTAAGCACCCGACTCTTGATTTCAGCTCAGGTCATGATCTCACAGTTGTGAGACTGAGCCCCACATCAGGCTCTGCACTGAATGTGGAGCCTGTTTGGGGTTCTCTCTCTCCCTCTCTTGCTCTCTCTCAAAATAAATAAACATTAAAAAAAGATCACCAACAGCTTAAAAAAAGAAAAAAGACTCTAAAAAGGGTTAAACCAGCAGGCCATTTCTGAGACCTCACAACCCTGTATATTTCAAGAATCCCAGCCAGCATCTCTGGCTGGTTTGAACATTATCCACAAGGGGGCACCATAATTCAGTTCTCAGCAGGGAGAAGAAAAGGCTAAATCTCTTGTCAATAAACAGCCTGAGCTCTCAGCTACACTTGGGGCCCAAAAGCCACAGTCAGATCTCACCCTAAGCCCAGGACTTCAGGGAGGAAGGGGTTTATAAGGCCCAGTCTGGCAAGGGATAAAAATCATCCAGCTGTCAGCTCTGGGTACCTGGCCTTCCACTTCACCCAGGACTCTGATGCAAGATGTGGCTCCTAACTCCCCTCTGGGGACATGTCGCCTCCAGTGTCCAGTGTCAGGACTCACCATTCAGCATCTCAGGGGCCATCCAGTAGGGGTTTCCTACCACGGTATAGCGCTTCTTACGGTCATTCTTACGCAAGGTGCGTTTCTTGGTGGTGGCCTTCTCCACTGGGGGCTTTTTCCTCTCTTCAACTATGAGCCGTGACAGCCCAAAGTCTGCCACCACCACAGTCTTGTCCTGGTAGGACAAGGGCCAGATCAGGACTTGGTGAGGACATTCCCAAGAGAAATTGAGAAGGGGAGAAAAGGTATGTAGCAAAGGAGAGTCATAGCTCATGCTCTCTCTGGTAGATAAGGCTCAGTTATTTGTTTTCTAGCAGTCTGGTATCTGCTCCTCAGACTTCCCAGACTTGGGGGTGTTCACAACAGAGCCCCTGGAGCCTGGAGGAGTAAGGCTGTGGGACTTGCAGAGTGGAACTCAGAAGCAGGAAAAGGGATTTTTTTTCCTTTTTTTTTTTTTTTTTTTTTTTTTACCCCATCCTGCCAGTTCCCCAAAAGATTTAAGGCATGGCTAGAACCAGGATAAGACAGAAAAGGATAAGGTGTAGGGAGTCAGTGGGGGGATTTAGAGGGAGACAAGCTCTTCAAATAGCTACAGGGCAGTCATGTGGAAAAAGGGTTACGATTGTTTAGTGTGGATCTAGAGGGTGGAGCCAGGGCTAGTTAGTGGATACCTGAGAAGCTAGATTCCAAGTTAATCGGAGAAATGACATGCTAACAGCCAGAGCTGATGGTTGGTGGGAAAAAATGCTGGTCCCAAACTGGCCACTGTACATTTACTAGCTCTATGGCCTTAGACTGAGGCTTCAAGGTGCCACAGTTGTAGAATAGGGTCCTCAGTGAGCTGCTTTACAGAACTATCGTGGTGAAACCAGGAAAAACAACAGGGCTCTTTGTAGTGTTAAGGAACTTCTGAAGTCCCTTCTAACCAAAGGATTTCAAAGGCTGCTACTAGGAGGAGGTATTATTGTGTCTGCATGTGTTTGAGAGCCCCCAGAAGACAGGGGAGGGCATCAGGCGCAGCAGGAAGGGTAACACAGGAGTCCTAGTGACACCTGAGGTCTAAAGCACAAGGACAGTCTCCTTTGTGACAAGACATGAGGGCTGGCCCTGGGGAAGCCCAGGATGGTTGGGACATACCAGCTTGATAAGGCAGTTGTGTGAGTTCAGATCCCGGTGGATGATGCACATGGAGTGTAAATAGGCCTGGAACAGAAGTACGAGCTGAGGCCAATGGCCAGTAATTCAAGCAGATGCAGACCCTGGAACTGGGGGAGACTGCTCTTCTCCCAGGCCATCCCCACTCAGCTTCAGAACCCAACATGGACCTTAGGGCAAGGGCCTCCTGCTGTCACCCCCTTGTCCCAACACTAACAGAAAGCCAAAGACCGCCTGGGCTTCCTCTCTCTCCCTGCTGCCACCTCTTGCCCATCCTTTGGTTCGCTGACCCCAACCCAGTGCTGCTCTAGACCCTCATTGCTCCCTCCCAAAGTCCCCAACTCTACTGGGCCCTGGCCCTTGCATGCCCCCAGCACCTCTATCCATTTTATGTAGATCCAGGCCACCTGAAGTGAAGGTCCTCAGATGTACTGCTCCAGTCCCCCTCACCACCATCATCACCATAATCTCTGGCTTCAGCCACCTTCACCGCCAGTGATCAGAGAAGTGACTTCCTCCTGGCCAGCTGGCTCTGTATTTCTGACATTCTCCTTCCCTGAGACTCAGCACCCTCCTTGTTCTTCTACACTTTAACCTCTCCCTCTTCCTACCCCAATGTTTTCACACAAGTCTTTGCTATTTCCACCCCTAGTCTCCACTCCTGGCTCCTGTCACTCTCTGTAGCCACTTCCTTTTCTTTTCTCTTCCCCAGCAAATGTGGAAGGAGCTACTTCCCTCCTCCCCTGTCCTTTGCAATAATGCTTGCATCCCCTAGGCTCCTGGCTCTGCTCACATACCCAGGGAGCTCTTCCTGAATCATGGTAGCTCTTGTGACCTGCCTGCTTGCCTGTCCTTTCCCCAAAGGCTGCCAGAACTTCTCCCACGCTACCTGTTCCTGAGACTCCTGTGTGGCTGCTGTTTCCTTCTAGCCTCCTTGGTGTCAGCCCTTTTTAAAGCTGCCTTCTCTACATACGCTGATGCCCACTAACAGCACATCAGCTTCAGTCGACACTAGGTCTTCCCAAACCTGTTTCCCCAACATCACTGCCTCCCCAGTATCTGGTAAGTGACACCACCATTCTTCTAGGTACCTCAAAAAAGCACAGCTCTGCTCACAAAACTTCCTTACTTAAACATCTTTTACATCTGTCTAAAAAGATGCTTCCTGGGGCGCCTGGGTGGCGCAGTCGGTTAAGCGTCCGACTTCAGCCAGGTCACGATCTCGCGGTCCGTGAGTTCGAGCCCCGCGTCAGGCTCTGGGCTGACGGCTCAGAGCCTGGAGCCTGTTTCCGATTCTGTGTCTCCCTCTCTCTCTGCCCCTCCCCTGTTCATGCTCTGTCTCTCTCTGTCCCAAAAATAAATAAAACGTTGAAAAAAAAATAAAAAAATAAAAAGATGCTTCCTAAGCATCCTAAGTAAAATCCAGACTCCTTAGCCTGAAATATAGGGACCTTAATGTACCCGAGACCAACACTGTCTTAATGGACACCACATGAAGAGCGGTGATTAAAGCTTCCGGCTTGGGGTCAGACTGACAAGCCCAAGCTCCTCTCTCTTTCTAGCTTTCTAGCATCAGCTTCTCATCTGGAAACCGGGGCTGTCATGAGGAACAAACATATACATGCACGTCAGTCCCTCAGCTCAGTGCCTGGCATACAGAAAGCACTCAGCGACTGTCACTGGTACTACTACTACTATATAATTGGTATCATTCTTTCCCAGGTGAAATAGACTATTACTTCCTCTCTCCTCCCAGGTATTTGCTGCTATCATCACCTCAACCTTGGTGCCTCTCTGCCAAGAGGAACTTTTATCCAATTCTGACCCATCCTTCAGGGCTCAATTAGAACACTTCCCCCTCCTCTGATTTCATAGGCAGTGAGGTACCCTGCTTGTTCCAAGCTCCTGCAGTGGCTAGACGCTACTAGTTTGCCTCTCCAGTTTTCCCTTGAAGATTTGGAATTCTTTGAGGTAGATTGTGAGCTAAGAAAAACAACTGGGGGCAATTTCAACAGCCCAGAAAGAAGCTCAATAAATAGCTGCTGACTGACCCAGCCCATACAAGCTGCCCAGGATGGGGTCTTTGCCTTCCAGTGCCTGCCTGCAGTCCCTCCCCATCACCACCTCACCACCACTCCCACACCTGGCAGGGCTGTTGGCAGAACTCACCATTCCAGATGCGATGCCTTTGGCAAATCTGACCTTCTGCTGCCAGGGGAATGGGTCCTATGGGAAGGGGGAATGCCCATCAGAGGCTGTTGGGACCTGTCCCATTTGTTGTCCAGGCCCCATGGGTCAATATCGTCTGCCAGTGAACCCTCCCTGCCTGTGCCCAATCATGCTCAGCATGTCCCTTTGTAGGCAAAGCAGCGAGGGTGGTGTGCTCACCACACTGCGCAGAAAGTCCTTCAGCGTGCCCCCTTCAATGTACTCTGTCAGCAGGTTCAGCTTCTTGTCCTTGTACAGCACACCAATGAACTTGAGCACATTGGGGTGGTCCAGGCTGCGCATCACCTTCACCTGGGGGTGACGAGGCCAAGGAAGGTGGATGGTTACTTTCCACTATGTCTTCCTCACCCCTTCCCTCCAAGGAGTCAGTCTGATAACTGTTACCTGCATCTCCTACCTCTAGTCTTATGTGATGGGGCAGGACACCTCCACATGGATAGGGATGCCTCACAGGCCCCACCCTGGGATGCTGCCTTTCTAGGAATTGTACTGGGGGCAACTGGAATGGGAGGGTCCAGGAGTGAAACAAAGGCCTGGAGGGCAATACCTGAACCACAGGAGTACCAACCGAAGGAATGGAACAACCTGGGAGAGGTGGTAAAAACTGTGTAAATGCTCAAGAGATGGCAGTTCTCTGGAAGGCCCCACTCCAGGCTCCCTTAGCAGGGTGTCCAGGTGGTGAGTATAATATCTAGTTGTCCTAAATTGGCCTGTTTTCATGTCCATAACCCCCACTAACTGTAAGCTCCCCTGAACCACATCTCGTTTGTTACTGTATCCCTTGTACCCAGATCATGCTGTCTTTAGTAAATGTTTATTGAATAGGTCATTATGCTGTAATTTAGAAGGGGTAGGATATTCCTCTAGCGCTATTTTCTGCCCAGCTTTTAAGAAAGTGATTCTAAAATAAGTTTCCACCTAGGGGTGCCTGGGTGGCTCAGTCGGTTAAGTGTTGACTTTGGCTCAGGTCATGATCTCATGGTTCGTGGTTCAAGCCCCACATCGGGCTCTGTGCTAACAGCTCAGAGCCTGGAGCCTGCTTTGGGTTCCGTGTCTCCCTCTCTCTTTGCCACTCCCATGCTTGCACTCTGTCTCCTCTATCGAAAAGAAACATTAGGGGTGCCTGGGTGGCTCAGTTGGTTAAGTGTCCGACTCGACTTAGGTCATGATGTCATGGTTTGTGGGTTTTAGCCCCACATCAGGCTCTGTGCTGACAGCTCAGAACCTAGAGCCTGCTTCAGATTCTGTGTCTCCCTCTCTCTGCCCCTTCCCTCACACATTCTTTCTCTCTCTCTCTCCCTCCCTCTCAAAAATAAACATTTAAAAAAAAATAGACATTAATTTTTTTAAAAAAAGTAACAAAATAAAACAAGTTTCCTCCTGAAACCATTATTTAGTAAGATCTACCCTCTTCCAAGAGTGACACCACACTCCTAACCCCTACCCCACCTTTTTACCTCAGTCAGAAAAGTCTTCTGTGTTTCCTCATCACACCGAATTAACTCCTTCATGACCATCACTTTGCCCGTGGCTTTGTGTGTTACCTAGTTACAAGGAGGACAACTATTAGTGGTGCAGAGTTCTGGGGAACTATGTGAAAATATATGCAACTGGCCATCCCATCCCTTGGAAGACATACTGAGCCAGATCAGACTGACAGAATTTATGTGTAGAAGACACAGCATGAGGCAACAGGGGCCTCAAAGGGGAGCGTACCCTCTTTGGAGAACGGGGCATGCATAGAGGGGAGGCAAGAATGCAGAAAAGGGAAGTGAGGAGGCAGGAAGGGACACTGCCAAGCCAAGCAGGGGCTCTGGTTATCTGACAAAGGAGTGAGTCCCTTGGGTGAACAGAAGTCTGGGGACAGTAGGGGTCAGTGCCACAGACATGCACCAGGGAACTAGGTGGGTCAGGGTGAGCTCTCCAGCCCCAATGCCCTGAAAGCTGAGACACATGGCTTACCTGACCCCCCCTCCCAGCTCTCAGCAGAGGAGGAGGAGAGAAAGAGAGAGAGGTTAGTCCCTAAGACTGTTCATCAGGGAGGCAGGAGCCACTCCCCTGTGTGCTCCCTGCAGTATACCCAACACTCAGGCCTCTGGGTACCTAAAAACATCCCTGCTGTTGGGGCAGGGCCATGATGGCAGGGCCATGGGCAACAACTCATCCCAACCTGGGTCTCCAGGTCCACCAAGCTCACTACAACAGCAACGCTGCCCTTAGGTGGCCTGAGAGGGCAGGAGTGTAGCCCTCACACCATCACCTGCAGCAAGGAAGGGGCCTGGTGTCCTGCAGGGTATGTATGGGGTGAGACCATGTGGTAAGAGCTCCCCAAAAGAAGGTGAGAGAAGGGTAGGGGGCCGAGAAGCAGACCAGCTGCTGCCTGTGCTCACCTTGATGGCCTGTCCAAAGAAGCCCTTCCCCAGGATCTCCCCATGGATCAGGTCACATGGCCGGAAGATCTGCTGTGAGTAGCTGCTGGAACAGCGGAGGGATTCTGAGCGGCTGATGTCACGGCTAAAGAGCAGGGGCTCCTTTGGGGAGCTGGGGCCAGGGGACTTGGAGATGCTGTTACTGCGCCTGAAGATAAGGAAAGATGAGGGTAGGGATAGGGTAGTCCTCAGAGACTTGCCAGAAAAACCATGGAGGTAGAAACCCCAAAGCTACCTTACCACCCTATCCATCCCAATTTCTGTAGTTCAGGTGCTATGATGAGGGGAAGGAACTCTTATGTCAGACAGACATGCCATTTTGGGGCTACAAACATCAGTAGTTTATTTAAATACAATAAAACCACATTCAAAGCAGGAACCCTATAGTGCTCAATATAGGACAGCACTGTAGGATGGTAACCCACCACTCTACATGCCTGCTTGATTCAAGGTACGGAATTGGGTTAGAGTGGTAGCCTACCACCATCCGAAAAATGACCAAATGGGATTCTGGCTATTTTGCTCATTTTGCACCTGTCTATATTTCCTGAAATTTAAAATAATAAGCATGTATGATTTTTACAGCAATAAAACCAGTGTATTTACATTTTTAAAAGCAGCCAGTAATAATAATGGTTGATAACTGTTACCGACTTCCTGAAGGACAAGAAAGGTTGAAGTCCACAGCACTGCAGGTGAATTACAACCCTGCAACCTTCTCTCCAGCACATCTTCCTGTTCCATTTGGGCTACCCAGAAAGGACCACACACAGGCTTCTCAACTCTTGCTCTTTTGCTCTGCCTTCCACCAACTGTGCCCACAGAAGCACACAAGGTGTGCTGCCTTCTGCAGTATGGCCCTCCAGAGATCTGAGCAGTCCCTAGCCACCCCACATCTTCCTGCTTCCAAGCCATGTTCTCAGGCCTTCTCTGCCCTCTGGCACTTCGCCTCTACCAGCTCACTCGTTCTGAGGCCACAAAGACAGCCAGAAGTGCATGCCCAGAAATCTGTGGGGAGGGCCCTGTTTCCAAAGATGCCAGTCAAGGGCCCTGAGTGATTCAGTCTGTTTGATCAGGAGGGCGGATAAAGACCTGACTCCTAATGATACTAACAACACCTCACATTGAGTTAGTGCTGACCCTGTGATGTCACTGTGCCACTATGCATTCCTTTCCACACTGAATCCTTAAAGGATTGTCCTTACATAAAAGACAGCCACCTTTGTCTTAGAACTCCACTTTATAGATGCAGAAACAGAGGCTTAGAGACATGAAGTGATGTGTGAAGGGAGGGAGCTCAGCTCAAAAGCATGGTATGGGTGTGTCTGCCTGGAGAGCCACTGCTCCAGACTCCTGTTCTTTCAGTCTCCCTATTTGGCACCTGTACCCAGGGTGATTGCTCCCTCCCCATGGACTTGGAACTATGAGGTTTTGATTGTTGGTCCCTCAAATCTAAAACAGCTTGCATCCATCTCTTGCTTTACAGTTTTCAGTGTTCTTACTTCCACTTATTAATTCTTTCTGTGCCCCAACTCCAGCCTCTGAACCCCATGCTTTACCCATGGGCCATGCTGTCCTTTGGGGGTCAGCATTTCTGCCTCCTGAGTTCAGCTCAGAAGTTCAGTGGACAGAGCCGACTCTCTGGTTTCTAACGAAACCTGGCAGACAGCTGGGTCAGATCATGTACAGGCCCTGGCTGTGAACTGTGATCCCTATGGGGAGAGCTGGGTCAGCACAATCCTCATGGCCCATCTCTGGCCAGCGGGTTTCCTTCCTAACTCTGCTGGCCTCCCAAAGTCAGCTCAGCCTCATCTGAAGGATAGGCATGGGTCAGCATGGAATCAGGGTGGGAGGCAGCACCTCAGAGAGCGTCTCCTTAGTGTTCCTTCCAAATTCTCCTTGGTGTCCAAGGTGCTGAGAGTCGGGGAGTGTCCAGCATTCTGCATGCGGGGAGAGAGCCGTGCATCCAGCCGCAGCTGGTCCAGGCGCTGGGAGACGGGGTCATGTTCAATCAAGAGCTGAAGCGTCTGGCTTGTCTTGCTAATCGCATCCTCTACCTGTAGCCAAAAGCAGTGTAAGGCTGGCTCCCACAGGCTGTCCCATCCCAGGCCACCCACTGTCAGCCCACATGATCTTAGCACAGTATGGCCAATGCTCAAGTTGGCTAATGGTGGCCTCTAGCTGCCAGTAGCCCCAGTGCCCTCTCACTGGCATCCTGTCAGATATCCCATCTGTCAGGCCATCCCTACTGCCCTGAGAATGTGCCAGGCTGACACAGGTCATCAGTGGTCACAGGCTCAGTGGCAAGACAAAGAGATAGACTGGGGGTGGAGAAAGGCAAAGGTCCATAGCTTGATCTCCCAGAGGGTCTATACCATGTTCCACCCCCACAAGACAGACTGGACACACACTGTACCTCTTCCACTCGGAGTGTGCGGACAGGGGTCCCATTGATCTCCAGGATGCGGTCCCCGGGGTGGATGGCATTGCGGTTGTTGGGACTGATGTGCATCCGGTTGACCCTGGGCCAGACAAGAGTTGAGGCAGGAAGAAGGCATCCTAAAATTGTGCTTGACCAATTTTACTTGTATAGGAAGGTTCACCATGCCCCAGGCCCCTACATGCCTGCAAGGCCCAGACAACTCACAGGGGAAATGCAACACCCTTTACAAGATGCCTCATCTCAGTGAAGGGCACCCCCACTCACCCAATGGCCTAAGCCAGAGCCTTGGATGGCATCTCCCCTATCCGGAGTTCTCTCACTGCTCCACAACCCTTACCGTCTTCGAGAATCCTGCCTTCACTTCATCATCATAGTTACCAACATTTCTCACCTGGATCTTTCCTGGTCTCTACATCTGTTCTAGATTTCAGCTCAGGTCACAATCCCAGGGTCGTGGGATTGAGCCCTGTGTCAGTGTGGAGCCTGTTTAAGATTCTCTCTCTCCCTCTCTGCCCCTCTCTCCCAGCTTGCACATGCCCTCTCTCTCTAAAAAGAACCTCTGGTCTAGACAGATATCTCAATGAACTAAAGAAGCTCAATCACCTCTGTTCTTCAAAAAAACTACCCATCACCAACACCATTGCTGATGTTTAAGTTTTTATTAACACCACCCTCTACATTTCCAGGCTTGCTCCTCTTCCATCCAACATCCATGCCAGCAATCCCTCTAGAACGCTAACCTGGTTGTATCACCTTGTTGCTTATCCCTTAAAAGACCTGCTGAGTGTTCATAATCCAGGCCCTATATAACTTAATAGCCCCCTTTTCTGGCTATTCCCAACCACCTAATTTACACCAGACACAATCATAGACTCCCACCTCTGCCCTGAACACAATTCCCTCCCATCTTCATCTAATGAGGTTTTAGTGCAGATCTCAACTCTTGGTGACTTCCCCAACCTTAATACCTCTCACCTGTACTGCAAGCACCTAGTAAGTGCACAATCGCTATTTATAGGGTTGGCAGCCATAGATTCCTCATTACTGGTATTAGACGAACACAGGCTCTTTCCCCATCTGGTCTCTGGCCTGGACCTAGGATGAAGTCTTAACCTCTTTCTCCTCCATCCTCCATTCACTCAACCAACAGAACAATAATCAATGAACATATACTACATGCCAGATACAGTTCCAGGACCTGGATATACAGTACTGAACAAGATTAAGTTCCAGAAGGAACTTGTTGGGAGGACAGATGATAAACTAATACACATAATCAAGCCAGATAATTTCAAAGAACAAACGTTATCTGAAACTTGACACATGAAAGGTGAGGGGTTCTGTCATTAAGTATCTTGTGGGAAGCAGCCTAGGCAGAAGGAAGAGTAAGTGCCAAGGCCCAGGTGCAGTTACAGCACAGTGAGCTCCAGGACAAAGATATGAGATGTGGGTGAAGAGAACTCTGCACCCCTTGAGGCCCATCTATGGACTCTGTGTAAGGACTCCTGCTTCTGGGGTTCTCAAAATACTCACTCTTTTACTTGCACAGTGGTGGCATAGTTGGAGCAGGCACTTTCCACAGACACAGAGAAGCCCCGTCTGCCCTCCGTGGTGGCTGGCATGGAGATATGTGTGACAGAGTAGGGCAGCTGGTCCTGAACAGACTCCGTGGAGAGTCTCTCAAACATGGGTGCCAGCACCACCTCATTGTGGCACTTCCCACTAGCAAGAGGAACATAAAGATGGTTAAGATCCTGGAGACCCACCTGGAAGCCCCCAGTAACCACTGTACCATGTGGCTTCAAGCAATAGTACCCACAATCCCACTATTACCATCCTTGCCATGATTCCAGTTGGTTGCTCAGAAAGAAGAGCCCAGGGTCTCTGGGGTAGGCTGGAAGTGGGGGTGAGATTGCCTGGGTTCTCTTCACTCTGCCTTTGATTCACAGTGAGAACCCAGCCCTCTTCTCCATTTTGGGGCTCAGCCTGACTTCTTTGCCAACTGAGGCAATTGCGCAAATGAACTCTAAGGGGCCTTTGCTTTTAATTTTCTGGGATCCTTCTCTGAGAGCACCTTCTGAGCCATTCTCTCCCTCTGGGAAGACTGCAGCACAAAGTGTCATTATTCTCACGGTCGGTAAGGACAGAGGGCAGAGAGATGTTACTTGTCTTGCTTACAGATTACAGAGCTGGTTATAGGCATTGCTGGGATAGGAATCCAGTGCTCTGATATCCCAGTACTGTTTCTGCCCAACTTGCACTGCCATCTGTTCCTCTCTCTTGACTGCTCTTGTAGGGGAGAGGGACACCATCTTACCAGTAAAGGGTGGCATGCTGCACCAGAGCATATGCATCCCCATCCTCGATGATCACCTTGCAGCTCATACAGGCAAAGCACTCTGGGTGGTACTTGAACTCCCCGGCCACCTGTGAGCAGGTGGGGAGAAGGGTAGACAGATGACAGATGGAGGAAGTGAACTGTCACTGTTGCTGGAAGGTAGGGGTGGGTGAGTGACCTCTTAACTGACTGAGACACCCAGGCGCCCCTAGAGAGACCTCTAATTAAGGATCTATAGGTCCTTTGCACAACTCTGCCCCAGAGCTTCCAGAGGACAAGTCAGATTGGTGCCTCTCTGTCATTTCTGAGATTACAAAAACTGTTTTGGTTCTAGCCAAGTCCCCAGAAGTCATCATCCTCACTAGAAAGACACATAGTTCCTCTAACACAGAGTTGGAAAATCCATGATTGGGCTTAAAGCCCTTTTCTGAAGCAGGTAGTGGAGGTGGAACCTCTCTCTACCAGCCCATTCCAGGGTCTCCTTTTCAGATTCCCTCTACACAACTTGGGTGTATTCTCCTCTCAACCTGTAATGCTCTCCTTCGAGGACTTTATCCATTGAATTAAGTCTCTGCCCTGCCCGCCCACCCACCCATTCCCAATATTGGACTGTTCAGTTTTGTTTTGTTTTTTTACCTTAAAAAAATGTTTATTTATTTGTTTTGAGAGAGAGAGACAGAGAGAGCACACATGCTGGGGAGGGGCAGAGAGAGAGAGGGAGACGGGAGAATCCCAAGCCATAGATTAAGCTATTAAGCACAGAGCCTGATGCAGGGCTCGAACCCACAAACCATGAGATCATGACCTGAGCTGAAATCAACAGTTGGACACTCAACCTACTGAGCTACCCAGGTGCCCCTGGACTGTTAAGTTTTTAAGGGAAGGATCCTACCTGGCACTTAATTGGTACTCAACAAACATCTGTTAAGTGAAGAAATAAAAGGGGAGGCCTTGGCTGATGGAAGACTAGAAGATGAAAGGCCATGGGAAACCAGAGGAGCTGTCAATGGACTCTGATGACTGAGAGGGACTCACTCACCATGACAGGCCCTGTCATCAGCAGAGAACACCCATGGCAGAACTCCCCAAACTTCCCCCAGTAGTCCTTGTGGCAATAAAGCTTCCCATCCTTCTCATAGTACCAGTTGGTGAGGGAATCCTGGCATTCTGAGCACCTGAAAGGCAAGACAAGAAAAAATTGTTGTGGATCCCTGGAACCAGGCTACATAGGCTGCCTCTGGCTCCCAGGTCTAACAACAAAATGGACAGACCTTTCCTTGATCCAAAGCCAGGATGGAGGAAAGTTACAGTTTACTGCCATCTCCCCAAAGGAAGCTGATTCAGAATAAAGAAGATCCCAGAAACCAGTTCTGTATTGTCTGCCTAACCTGGTAGACCAGTGTCTGTTTATTAATTTTTTTTAACATTTTTGTGTCTTGAAGCCCTTAGAGAATCTAGTAAGAATCAAGAAGCTGCTCTTGGAAAAAGGCATGTACAAGGAAAATGTACATATTATTTAGGTATGGGTGTGTGTGTGTGTGTGTGTGTGTGTGTGTGTGTGTGTGTGTGTGTAGGTCTGAAGCCTAGTCATGGCCCCAGCTAAGAACCTCTGTTCTAGATTTCAGCTCAGGTCACAATCCTAGGGTCATGGGATTGAGCCCTGTGTCAGTGTGGAGCCTGTTTAAGATTCTCTCTCTCCCCCTCTGCCCCTCTCTCCCAGCTTGCACATGCCCTCTCTCTCTAAAAAGAACCTCTGGTCTAGACAGATATCTCAATGAACTAAAGAAGCTCAATCACCTCTGTTCTTCAAAAAAACTACCCATCACCAACACCATTGCTGATGTTTAAGTTTTTATTAACATCATTAACATGTAGCATTCTTGTGAAAAAATTATGCTAAGCATTAAGAAACAATCAGGCAAATCCAGAATGTGGGTCATTCTAAGACTACTGTTCTTGACTCTTCCAAAAAGTTAATGTCATGGGGAAAAAAAGGTACAGGGATTAAAAAAGCCTAGAGACACAGCAACCAAATGCAGCACCTAAACCTTGGATTCAATTCTGGATTGAAAAAGAAAGCAGCTATGACTGTCATTTTTGGAACTGAGGAAACTTGAATTTGGGCTATATATTATACTGTGACATTACTATCCATTTTCTTAGATGTAATAATGATACCTTGGTTAGATAGAAGAATTCTTAGAAGAAACATATTAGAGTAACTAAGGGTGAAAGTCAAGATATCTACAACTTACTTTTACATAGTTCAGCAAAAAATAAAATACATCATGTGTGTACATAGTTAAAGAGAAAGTGGCTTAAAGTTAAGTCTGGGTGAAGGATATATATGGGTGTTCTTTGAACATTTCCTTCAACTCTTCTATGTATTTGAAATTTTTCGAAATAAAATAATGGGCGGGGGGGGGAAACAAAATTCCACTAGCACTGTGCAAGATATACATGTTAGACTCCACAGCTCCTTTCCCCTCCAATTACCTGGTTGTAAAGCTCCACCCCTCAGTCAGGCTGGGTGTGTTTTCAGACCAAGTTTGCACAAGATAAGCATTTCTGAACCTCTCCTCATTTCTGAACCTCCCAGCACCCAGAGCTAAGGGCTCCCTGCCCTTGGGAGCCCATGCCACCTCTTTCTTTCCAGTGAAGACTCTATTCTTGTTGTCAAGGCTTCACACCACCCTTCACTGGCCAAATCCTTGCTTCTGAGAGGCAGGATGGAGTGGCCTCTTAGTGTGACTCCTGACCCTGCCACTTACTAGTTAGCTCATCTTGGGGAAGTTACTTCACTCCTCTGACCCAGTTTCCTCATCTGTCAAATGGACTACTGTGGAAAGGAAATAACATGTACCAAACTATATATAGTTTATATAAAAGGCTAAGTACAGTAGGAACTCATGAAGTGTTAAACTGCTATTAAAGATGATGATAATGGTAGCTGCTCACACTATTTGCCATTTTTCCTCCACTAGCTGGGTAGCTTTGGACTTCTCTCAGTTCTTCCTCCTTGACAAAATGTGACTAATAGCACAGTACTACAAAGAACACCGTGAAGACTAAATGAGCTAATGTATGAGGAAAGCCTTTTGCAAACTGTGAAGAGCGGAACTAGCTGTATTATTACAGCATCTTGCTAGGCACTGCAGATATAAGAGATAGATATACAAGGTTCCCTACTACAATTTCCAAGAGCTTATAATGGGCTGGGGAAGAGAAAGTCTAAAACAAAACTTAATTAACAATGAAAGGTGAGAGGTCACAATGGGTGCTACTACTACTGGGCACTGCAGGAGGGAGGAGGGAGACCAGAATGAGTTGAAGCAGCTATGGAAAGCAACTGAGCCAGGAAGGTCTAGAGAAGCAGGACCCTGAGAATCGCTCTTTATGGAGTGTCCACGTCTCTCTGGATGTTTAACACTGATGGCTTCTGCCATCAGTCATCCCCATCCTGTAGCATCTCCTACTTTTTTTTTTTTTTTTTAATGTTTATTTATTTTTGAGAGAGACAGAATGCATGCAGGGGAGGGGCAGAGAGAGAGGGGGACAGATGATCCAAAGAAGCCTCTGCACCGACAGCAGCAAGCCCAATGTGGGGCTCAAACTCACAAACTGCGAGATCATGACCTGAGCCGAAGTTGGACGCCACCCAGGTGCCCCTCTCCTACTTGTTTTATGGACGCTGAACTTAAGGGACTTGAGAGCCAGACACAGCATGAAGAGTATGGATATGAAATACCTAGAATGGTACAGTGTGAACCATTAATTCTAGGAGGCAAAGGGGGAAGACCTGTTCTGGACATGCAGCTCAAATTCCTCTCAATGTAAAAGGCACGCTGGATGAGCTCTGAATTGGGAAGAGGCCTGGTTCAAGTTCTTGGGAGCTACAGGCTCTTGGACAAGGCCCTTTCTTTCTCCAGGTATAGTTTCTCCACCTATAAAATGAAGGAATTAGACTATACCCACATCCCCTTAATTCCATGCATATCTATGTCTTTCCCTAGATGATCTAAAGTTCCAATCTCTGAACTACCACTTACCACCTAAGTGATCTTGGGCTGGCTGCTTCATTTCTCATTTGTGAAATGAGACAAAGGGCAACATCATCACCTATATTCAGGGTAGCAGTGCGGACATTAAATCCAGTTCTGAATGACTGTGAGGAGCCTAGCAAAGGGCCAGCACTAGGAGCAGGGACTTCCTTCTTGCCTCCCAGCTTCTGACTTGAAGCTCCTAGGTACCTATCTTTCTCCTTCATTAGAGTGTGAGTTCCCTGAGGACAGGAACAGTGTCCCATTTACTGTTGGTAGACTAAGCACCTAACAAAGAGCCCAGCACAGTAAGCCCTAGCAGAGGTTTCCAAACCGAAAATGGTGGGAGTGGCAAGAACCAGCAATCCAGGTGGAAGCACAAACATTCTGTGGCTCACGGTCAGCAGGTCCTGCCCTTCTGCTGTCTGCAACGGAGAAAAGCTGGTGCACACGTTATTTGCACCCAAATGCAGGCCTGGGCCCTGTTACACCCTCTCAATGGTATGTGTGCTGCAGGGCACAGGAGTACCAGAACACGTCCTCCTTTCCACTGCCAATATTCTGCTTTTGTTTGTTGCAGCTAGCCCTGGCCAGGCCCAGGAGAGTGGGGAGAGAAACGAGTGCAGACATGCAGGAGAGAGCCACGCCAGACTTCTGGGAAGAACACCTGCCTGGAGAGCGACATCACCAAGGCACACCATGTGTCAGGGAATGCCTTTGAAGGGCATGGCCAGAGAAACAGCCAAAGTTGGCTGACACAGGTATGTCTGAATAATAGGAAGGTGAACAGCTGATAGGAGGGCTGGTTGTGGGTCCCTAAGCTGTTTTGTCACAGAACACAATTGGTTCTCAGGTCACCCGAGTGGTAGACTTAAGAGTCCTAGCTTAGATATTAAGAACAATTACTGTCGACTGTTACTTAAATGCCAACCATATTCTGGGCACTCTATGAGGTGCCTTACTTATATCCTGGCCACATCCTGCAAAGTGATAGGATTATCCCTGTCTTATAGAACACTGAACAGCAGAGTCAAGTCACTTGTGCAAAGTTGCCTGACACACACAGGATGGAGCTAGAGTCTTAACCTATGTGTACTTGGCTATGAAGCCATTTCCACTAGACTACATCCCCTGAGCACCTGAGTAATGCAGCACATCTACTAAGCTGGGCCTCAGGATTTGCATCTGTGAAAATGAGAGCTCAAGTCCCCCTGAGTGTTAACACTTTGTGAGGGCTTCCCCTTAAATCCAAGTACTGAATTTAAATGGCACAATGATTCTCCTTCTTCCTTTAGTCCACAGCATTGTTCCCCAGCAGTCTCTGCCTTTTTAAGAAAAGAATCCATGGGGCACCTGGGTGGCTCAGTCTGTTAAGTGTTGGACTTCAGCTCAGGTCATGATCTCCTGGTTGGTGGGTTTGAGCCCCACATTGGGCTCTGTGCTGACAGCAGAGAGCCAGCTTTGGATCCTCTTGTCTCCCTGTCTCTCTCTGCCCCTCCCCAACTTGCGCTCTCGAGTTCTATCTCTCAAAAAGTAAATAAACATTATGGGGTGCCTAGGTGGCTCAGTTAAGCGTCCGACTTCGGCTCAGGTCATGATCTCACAATGTGCAGGGCGTTTCCTGCTTCGAGCCCCGCATCGCGTGGGTTCGAGCCCTGCTGTCAGCACAGAGTCCACTTCAGATCCTCTGACCCCCTCTCCCTGTCCCTCCCCTACTTGTTCTCTCTCTCTTTCAAAAATAAACATTAAAAAAAAAAGAAAGAAAAAAGTAAATAAACATAAAAATAAAAAGAATCCAAAACACACTCTGAATGTAATCACTGCCCACAAGCGCCCCCTCAGATTTTAAGGTAGGCCACGCGATATTTCTCCCAAAGCCAAGCCTTTTTTATTGCAGCTTTCAATTTTTGAAAGTTTCAAGTGAATGTCAAAATCTGCCCTAGCAGCAGGTTGCCCAAGGGCATTCAGCTTGGAGGTAGTGGAGCTGGTGGTGGAACCCTAAATAGAGGTCTGAGGTATCAGACCCTCCTGAGCAACCAGAGGGAACAGAGCTGAAACCCTCCAGTCAGGGGAGATCACAGACAGGCCCACATGTGTTGAGGATAGCCGACAACCTTGAAAATTCCTCTCCCAAA